TAGGTTCCCCTGATGGTTGATTCTAGAGTTGATTTTATGCAGTTAAAAATTCATACTATAATTAGAAAAATGAATGAATAAAATGGTGCAGAGTGTTTTAAATACCCAAGTGCTTTTGGTACAATGCTGTTAGAAAAATTAATGTTAAACATAATTGCGATTTTGAACTTGCATTCTCGAAGATTTAATAAGTGTTGGATTTAAAAAAAAAATAATTCATATGTCTATGTTTTCAAAAGCCATGGTCTAATTGTGTATGGAGTAATTGTTTTAATAAGTAGTGATTTGTGCTGTTGCAATTTAATGGACTTATATCTTAACCCCATGCACTTCCTTGGAGACAGAGCATCTGGCGTGGAATGGGGTTAATAGACGATAACGGCTTTGTGAAATCACCAGCATTCACACATTTCTTTCCGCCTTGAAATATTTAGTTGCTTAGGAAGATAAAAGCCTTGAACAACAGTAAAACAACAGTTTTGAATTCATTCCCAGTGCTAAGAGAAAATACAGCCGCCAACTAGCACAGAAGTGATATTTTCTACTTCTGTTTGCCAGATCTCTCAGTGTGATTTGGACAGCAATAAACATTGTTAACCCTCGCTGTGTTGAGTTGTTTCTTTGGACATTATTATCCTAAACAGTTCAATTCAAGAAATTATACTTCAAATATAAGACTACCATGATGCTAGATTAACACCGTTACTACATAGGCTCATTATTAACCCAAAAATAACAAGCAATGCAGTGCTTGTTTATTTCGAAAACAAAATTGCTTCCCTGCCTACCCTTTAATGGAAAACTTTTCTCCTACTGATAGAAAGTTTTGCATATAATGTTCAACCAAGAAATAGAATTAGAAATGCTTAAACGACCACTTCACACTCCAAAAGTGCTTTACGGGTGTGGCGCCTCTGATTGGTTATTTCTCTGAAGGTCTTGTTCAGGAAAAAAGGGGAAGGTTTCCTAAGGCTGCAATTCATAAGATCTGCAGCCTTTGCAAGCTCTTTCAAGATATACCCCAATGAATACATGCATTAAAAACACATGCATGTATTTACCGGAGGTATATGTACTAAACTGTGATTTTTTTTAATATGGCCAGTGGAGCACTCCTTTAACTTAAAGGGTTATTACAGACACCTGAACAGCTTTCATGCATGTCATTGCTTACCCAGCATGCATCCAGGATTTTCATAAGAAAAAAAGTTGTGTGGATAAACCCTGCAGAATTTGACCCCTTCTTTAACATCTGTTTCAAACAGGAAATTAACTGCTGAAGTGAGCTTCAAATACCATGGTTTGTGAATGTGCAGCATGAACTCAATGTAGCCAATAATGTGTATTTGTGACTTGCAAAACAGGACAGGGCAACTACACAGTAAACAGATAAAATTGCTTAGTATATACTTTACCCTCTTTGTACGCACAGATACTGCTAAGGACTAACAATGTAGGTAAATAAATAGATTGCCTCATTAGAAATCAAGTCACACATAGTGTCAGCAGTTTACCACACATGAGAAGGGGATAATATTTTCTCCGTGAAGCATGGTTCTCCATTAGTTCTATATGAGCGCTGTGCAAGGGCCTTGTTTACAGATAAGGACAGGAGGCTCAACAGACTCTCATTGAGCAAGCTCAAGACTCTAAATTCCAGTGCTAGAGGGAGAATACTAATGGCCGTCCTGATCCTTTGTTAGGAGTAGATAGAAGGGAATTACATTATTAGACTTAGACTAGACTATAGCAAAGTAAGTGGGCCTACCTCCTATAGACTGTAAGCTCGTTTGAGCAGGGTCCTCTTCAACCTATCATTCCTGTAAGTTTTCTTGTAATTGTCCTTTTTATAGTTTAATCCCCTCTCTCATAATATTGTAAAGCGCTACGGAATCTGTTGGCTCCACAGAAACGGTGAGAATAATAATAATAATTGAAAACAAACATGGAGACTGTGAAGCATTCTAACTGGGCATTGTAACTAAATTGATTACATAGAACCTTACAACAATATTTACCAAGGAAAACACAGTACTATTTGGGAAAATACTAAATAAGCAGCAATTACCATAGAAACATGTAGAATGTTTGATAGTAATTAGCACTTTAAGACAGGAGTAATACCTGTTTTGCTTAAAAAAATATGGCCCTAAATACAGAATTTCTGTCTCAATTGTACATCCTCCGAAAAATGGCATTATTTTGTAAAGCTGAGGAAACCTACATTGTTATGTAATGCTAATGCATATATTCACACAATGCAGCCTAAATAAAATATCACAGATGATTGCAGCTCATCTGATGTCAGGGAAACATCAGCCCAGATTAAGGGCCTTGTTTTCATTACTTTAGGGAATAGACGAATGTTGCTGGGAATGCTTATTCATGCTGCATGTTGCCATCAGCTATTCAGTTCTTGCCTTATACAGCAAGTTAAAAAGACACTTCTGGGTTCAGTGTATTGCTCTCCTGGGAGGTAAAGGGACAAGATGAACGTGGTTCTAGAGCACTTTATGCTCTGTCATCTACTTGACCTGTCGTGACATTTTCAAACAAAAACTGTTAGACTCCAAACGAAGTGAGGGAAAATTCACCTTTAAAATCCGACAGGAGGCATGTTCCAAGACCTGAAAATTGGCAATTGCAAGTGAAAAACCATTTGCTGGAGAAAGAACTTTTGCCAAATCTGTACTTTGCATCAATACTGTTACACCTGATTCAGCAGGAGACTTAAAAATAGCCATGCAGAACAAAACACATGATGTGAAGTCACTGTACTTCATGTCAAATTTACTGAATGCTTTGGCTGAAAAGTTTGGCACAGAAAGTCAGCAAGGTAGATACAGGAAAATACGTAAATAATGGAGCTACTGCTAAGATTAAACATATATATTAAATCGAATACCGTCTTCTAGCCATCGGTCCTATAATTTATTTGTTTATTTTACATTCAGAGTTATTCACTAAAGCATTTTTTTTTTTTATTAAAATCAATCCAAAGTCAATGAATTTAAAATTTAAGGCCAAAGTGGTCAAACTAAATACATAGATGCATGGACGAGGTGGGTGGACCCCTGAGGGGGCATTATAATTTTCCTGAGTTTTATCCTAATGCTATAGTGCCCCTGTCCCTAGTTCTATAAAGGCCCCCACTATGTGTCATAAAAATTAATACAAATAATTTTTTACTTAAATTTTTACAGTGCCAGGCTCCCTTGGCACTGTACTCTTCTCCACCTCCCTGAGCATCAGCAAGGAGCATGACCTTCTCAGCGATGGGCCAATCCAATGCTGCTCATAGAGGAGTATTGCAGACCTAATGCACATATGCGGCAAACATCTAAGCTTCCCCATAGGAAATCATTGCATTCAATGCTTTCCTATGAGCTTCTACGTCAAGTGACCAAGTTTTACTCGGTTAGTGTCACAGAGGAGTCTCTAGTGACTGTCAGTATGGCAGCCATCAGAGATGGATTTAAAAAACATCAATGTTTTATATTGCAGGGTTAAAAGTACAGGCTACTGCCTCAAGAACACTTTATTGAGATTTAATTTTTACATAATGTCTCTTGTGGGAGACCATAACTCATACATTGTTCACAATCAAAATCTAGAAAATATGCAACAAAATATATATGAAACAAGCATTTTCTACTATGGTAAAATGCTTTTGCAAATGTAGCTGAAAGGAAATTGTAATATAACATTGGAAAATATTATGAGATTTGCAGTTCTCCCTCAAAGGCCTACTTGATACCTACTTGAAGGTACAATCAAAGCATCATAACCACTACTGCATGGTCAAGCAGTCTGACTTCTTACATGGGGATTGTCATGTGATTCTCCCTTCATCAATGAGAGCCAGTAGCCAGGGCCAGACTGGCCCACCGGGATAACAGGAAATTTCCCGGTGGCCGCCGCACTCGGTGCCGGGCAGGCAGCTCAAATCATGAGGCTAATGTAATTTAAATGATTTTCCCTTCAGACTGTGCCAGCCTGTGTCAGATGGGAGTAAAGAGGGAGGAGCTGGGGGCTGGTGCGGCCGCAATTAGTCTCCCTTTAAAATTCACCTCAATTTTGTCCACATGCCCTGCCCCTGCATGCAAGCCCCTGCTAGTGAGTGAGCTTGTGTGTAGGTGTGTGTGGTTGCTAGTGAGTGAGCTTGTGTGTGTGTGTGTGGCTGCTAGAGAGTGAGTTTGTGTGTGTGTGTGTGGCTGCTAGTGAGTGAGCTTGTATGTGTTTGTGGCTGCTAGTGAGTGAGCTTGTATATGTGTGGCTGTTAGTGAGTGAGCTTGTGTGTGCCTGCTAGTAAGTGAGCTTGTATGTGTGTGTGTGTGTCTGCTCCTGAGCGAGCTTGTATGTGTGTGTATGTGTGTGTCTGCTCCTGAGTGAGCTTGAGTGTGTGTGTGTGTGTGTCTGTGCCTGCTCCTGAGTGAGCTTGTGTGTGTGTGGCTGCTAGTGAGTAAGCTTGTATGTGTGTGTGAGCATGTGTGTGTGTCAGTGACCTTGTCTGTGGTGAGCATGTGTCTGCTTGTCAGATGGAAGCATGTGTGTGTGTCAGTGACCTTGTCTGTAGTGAGCATGTGTGTGTTAGCTTGTCTGTAGTGAGCATGTGTGTGTCAATGTGCTTGTCTGTAGTGAGCATCTGGGTGTCAGTGAGCATGTGTGTGTGTGTGACAGTTAGCTTGTCTGTAGTAAGCTTAGGCGTGTCAGAGTTTGTCTGTACTAAATTTGTTTGTGTACCAATAAGCTTGTCTGTGTGTGTCAGTGAGATTGTCTGTCAGTGAGCCTATTTGTGTGCATCAGTGAGCTTGTGTTTTTATGTCAATGAGCATATGTATATCAATGAGATTGTCTGTTTGTGAGCCTGTTCATCAATGAGTTTGTGTCAGTGAGATTGTCTGTGTCTGCATGTGGGTATGCTTACTGTATAATTAAATGCTTTGCTCAGTAAGGACCAATATTTTGAATTAGAAAAATAAATATACCAATAATATGTAAGGCTATGTCTTGCCACCCCAGATGATTGAGTAATATATAAGCATGCATAATATATATTATGTGTTTATATATTACTCAATCATCTGGGGTGGCAAGACATAGCCTTACATATTATTGGTATATTTATTTTTCTAATTTAAAATATTGGTCCTTTCAGAGTGTGTGTGTATATATATATATATATATATATATATATATATATATATATTACAAACAATACATGGCACAATGACTTATGGGGCTGGCAAAGAATTTTTTCCAGGGCGGCTTTGTAACCCCAATCCGGCCCTGGCAGTAGCCCTCAGTATGAGCTAGGTCCAACTGTAAAGGACTTAGCTCATCAGCTGAGAACAATCAGCTGTATACTGCATGGCTCTCCATAGAGAGGCAGTAAGAGGCAAGTATATTGGGGGCCCCCAGGACACTTCTTGAACTTCATAGCGACTACACTGTGCTGTTGTAGTTATGGTACTTGGAGTGTACCTTTAATTCTTATTGAGAACTCAATCATATAGTTTTAAATGTAACTAAGCCCCAATGTTATATATATTCTCTAATTAGCTTGGTTATGCCTCGCAGTTGTGTCCTCATTTTAACCTTGTATTATCTTTTATCCATTGCAAATTTGTAAAGAACCCATTTGGATTGTACCTTACACCTTTTCTGAGATCAATCAACAAGTATAAAGTTCAATTATAAAATAATTATAAACTAGACCAATCTAAAACAAATGTCTTAACACATTTGTTATTTATCGTCGATTGTTTAGCAGATATGAATTACATTTTCATTGCTTTGCCTTCAAGCAATTTTATTCCTGGGAAAACAATGCTTTATAATATAGCATAGGGTATAATCAAATGTCACAAACATAATTTAAAGCAAAGAATCAAGTTTTTATATAGTTTGTCAGTGATTCAGTTTGTCTCATTTTTTTTAAATTATTATATTGCCTTTGGCATTTATTTGCTGATAATGGAAATGTGTAAGAGATATTTAGGGATCAGTAGCAAAAAAGTAAAAAACGGAACATCAAAAATACTCAATGTTCACCTTGTTGAACAGGGATAACATACTGTGCAATGTTATCTTATTAGTCCATTGCATTAACACATCTACACAGCAACATGTCCACATATGTTTTTTTTAACCTTTTTAAAAAAAATCATTTCTAATTTGCTGACATGTTAGATTCTCTGTATAAGATCATACTAAATACAAATATTCACTAGACTCCTTTCTAGTGGAACACACAGTCTAGATGTAGCTTGAGTTAAAGTTAAATATTTATTTTATTGAAGGTTCTATGGCACAGCAACACACTATAGCCCAGTACGGTAGAAAGAGAATCTCCTTGTTGCATTAGATGCCAAAACTTAAATGTAAGTTATTTTGGAAATAATATTTATCCCTTCCATTGCCTCTCATAAAGTTACATAGGGAACCAATCAGAGAATTAGAATGATACTCCAGGCACCATGATCACTTCATTTATTTAAAGTGTTCATGGTGCCTAAGGTCTGTATGTGCAGCATTTTGCTTTGAAATGCTGTAAATATAGAGATTATCACCTTAGTTGCCAGAGGTATTTCTTGCAGAATTTTGTCAATTTGTGCAAAATTAGCATCTAACGCCAACACGCACAGCGTTATGGTTCCAGACAGCCAAAGACGGCACAGCCCCTGTCCTCCATGCTGTCTCTGTTCTCCCCTCAGCCTATCCTCCAAGAACACACTTCCCTGCTGTAGAGCGGAAATGATATCAGCTGAGAATGATCCGACTCCAGGGAGAATTTGACCTTGACGCTAAAAACCAGGTAAGTTTTAGCATTTTTTTTTATTTTTTTTTTACTTTGGGAAGGGAGGACCGCCTCATAAAGGGTTACTCTAACCAAAACCATGGTGTTTTAAAAACAATGGTTTTTTGGGGGGTTTTTTTTGGTTGGAGTATCCCTTCAAAACTTGCAGTGTGAAAATTACATCAATTTAAGGTCCGTTAATCATAGAAAGAGGCCCACACAGACGTGATTTTGAATTCAAGGATTATAAGTCAGTAACTGCTACCCTTACGAAGCTAGGGGCAAAAGGAGTTACAAAGATAACGTGAATTGCCAAGGAAATGATTGTTGCAATCTAACTGTGGCTTCATTTGCATAGCACTGCATGACAATGACACGAGTGTGCTGAAAACTGTTCATTATTTATCTGTCTTTGATATGTTGAAGTATATGAGGCATATATGAAGTATATGAGGCTACCCTTTCCCCTCCCCCCTCCCCGCACACACACAGACACTATTTTCTAACATATAATATTTGAGGAGATATTTTTCAAATTATTTTAAATTGTCTCACACTTTTCATGCAGATACAAAATCTCTTTTTCCAGTTGAATGAACTTCCCTACGTTAGATTGTTAAAGATTGCGCGTAAAGAGTGAATATACAGAGGGATTAGCAGAAATGCAATAAACTGTGGCATTGATTGGCAGTTTCTCAAAAATATAGCTCCCTATTTACAAAACGTGGTAAACCCAGAGCATTTTAATATGCACTCCATAATAAAAGAGAAGAGAATAAGTGTGTTTAGGAGGGGGAGAGTTGCCATTAAACAAACAATACTTGAGAAATGCAGACTTTCTCTTTCAATCAAACATCTGGGATTCACCGAGAACATTCAAGTATCCAATGAGAAAACTCAACATGATTCCCTATAATCCCAGTTATAAAATGTAGGCCACGCTCCGTAGAACAAACAGATTGCAAAGGGGAGTAATAAAAACAATTTTAGGTTTATTAGACTAAGTTAGGGTGCAATTCAGTTGGATAATATGTTTTCACACATGGTGAGCCTCAAATTGTGGAGAATTGAAACATATATTAGAGGTTGATATGCATCACATTTGACCGTTAAAGAAAACCAATAATGGGGCTTAAAGTAAAAGTAGCAATCTCTGTTTTTTTACTGAGACTGTCCTAGTGATATATTACAAATGAAGGGAGTGGGAATTCAAAAGTGGACTCTCTTTTAGATTGTATACAATACTTAAACCTAATTTTTTTTTTGTTTTTTGTTTTTTTCTTAATACAATAAAAAGCAAACAAAAAAACAACACCTTTTTTATTTTCTGGTTTGAAGTACCCATCTTTATAAACTCAGATTTCTGCTACTATGTAGTCTTTTTTTGCTAATCCCAGAGAACAATTATTAGAAAACTTTGAGTGCAATAATATAATATACATATTGTTTCCGGAGCCCTCCCTCAACGTCTTTATCAACTGCTCCAAATATATCTTGGACTTTGTGAGACACAGGTCTTCTTCACAGGTCTCAATGTTTCTCCACTTAAGTCAGAAAGACTGAATGTCCAGCATAACTAATAATAATCAAGAAATAGTGCCACTCAACTGTAATAATGGTGCAGTTATTGATGTCACCCTCCAATATATAACCTCTGGAATATATACATTGAAAAAAATCTAAATAATGCTCAAATAGATTATTCATTTTTTGCATTATACTTTTTGAGTGTGGTATTATTTTATTTAGCAAATAATGTTAATGTTAAATAATAATGTTTTACAAGCTGGTTGATAACTGTAACCCAATTCTAACAGCATGACATACTGGAAACAGGTAGAAAATATAGAACACAACTACTAGGTATGCCTTTCTTTTCTCCCCATTATTGCCAGTATTGGGGTCACGACAGTGCACTCAAACCAGGTTACAAAATTAACCCATACGGTCTTAGCCACAGCAAGCAAAGGTACACTGCATCATTGGATAGATCCCTCCCCCCTCACTATCACTACTTACCAAGAAAATCTATTTCCTATTCTATATAGACTGGGTATAAACTTTGTTAAATAAAAGTACCTTGATGAATATATATAGTTTTTTTTACCTGGCAACCATATATCACACAAATGACACAATAGACAGAACCACCCAATTAAAACTGAAACACACTTTTGAATTTACAGACTGGTATTTGATCAGAGTTGTGGTGGGCCAACGTCCCTTAGCCCAATATAGTCAGCTTCCCAAAGCAAGACACCTCAAGCTAGTTATCCCCAATATTGAACTAACTCTTAGTTGGTTACTTCATTCATTGTATTATTACATTTTTCCCCCACATCTTTTAAACAAAAATGGCATGCAAAAATCCAAGTACATCTAACTTGTACGTTACAAAACAACCTTTGTCTACATTATACTGAAACTATCAGATTGCTTCATGACAATAAACAAAAAAAACTGAATTAAAAAAAAATTTCACATTAATTTTAATAAATTGTATTCCCCCCTCCCTGCTTCTTACCTGGTCCAGGGAGGGGAAAGATTCCATTCCTTGGTGGTCTGGTGGCATTGTGGGGCCCCCAGAAACCTGTTACTGCAGAGGGGTCCCAGGACACTGCATTTGCAGATTCAGCTCCTCTCTCCCATTAACTCTCCGTAACCTGTGGCAACGCTCTGACGGTTGCAGGTCTCGCGAGAGTTAATGGGAGAGAGGAGCTGAATGTGCAGTCACAGTGTCCGGGGCCCCCCTCTGCAGTAACAGGTAGCCCGGGGCGTGCAACTGCACATATATATATATATATATATAGTGATAATCGCTATATATATGGGCACATAGGCAATGTGAGGCCAAGACTACCAGAGCAGTCCGGGCCCCTCAGGACCACCAGGCCTGTGACAACCGTCATGGTTGTCACCCCCTGATGGCGGCCCTGGCAGATGGAATAGACAAAGCATATAACAATCACTGACAGGTGATGCAATTTAAAGACAATCACACCTTACAAACACATATTTGTTAACTAAACGAATAAGTAAATGTAATGAAGGAGTGTGATAGTTTTTATTTAAGATACTACAAAGAAAAAAGAATATTAAAACATTGCAATTAGAATTATTTGAAATATTGGCAATTTGCAACATTATAATACACACTAAACATGTATTTATCCGTAATTTTATATACTGTACACTATTCTCTTAACTGCTAAATAAAAAAATGTAAAAACTGAACTAACTGTTGCCATCTGATCATGTTATTTACGTTGAGAAATTTAGAACATTTCCCATGACTCTATTCCCAACC